CCTTCGAAAGTGAGCATATAGGTGCGAAGTAAATGTTCAGTGTTGAAAAAAGTGAAAAGAAAAACGTTAAAGACGTCGAGAAAACTCTTTTCCTAAATCGCGGCGGCGAGACATAAGACGGGAGGGAGGCGTGTCTGGACTAGTTTTTCAAACATAGCACGAAGTTTCAGCGAAAAAAAATGTTTGACCCTTCTCAACCTAATTGAGGCCGTAATAGTGCCGAACTCTTCAGTGCTTCAGGAGTGGAACTGGGAGCAAAACTGAAATACGGTCCATCCCGTCCAAAGGCAGTCCACTGCTACTCAAAGCGCTCAACCCGTTCAAACCACATATCCTTTATTGTGAACGTTTAGGACTAAGCCATAGGAAGGGAAAGACTCCCGGGTCCTAATCTGGATGCTCGTAAATGAACTCCACTTTTCAAAAACGTCTATGTCATTCAGCATAAGAACACATATAATGCATCATACAAAAACCTGAAGAAATAACGTAGGGATCTGATAGCAACCTCACAACTTCGAAAGACCCTTTAGCCGAATTGGCGACGCAATCGCACCAACGCCGCTGCTGGGTCAAATGTCGTCGCCCACTGCAATGCCCCTTTCACTAGATACCAGTAGAAGACTCCTCTGACACAGAACACCTAAACTGATCTGAAAACACTCACCTTGGTTGTTTCGGGGACAACAAAAGAACTTCACCAAAAGCTGTGAAAATATAAAGCGAGATGTTAAAGCGGCTGCGTAGCGGTTCCCATTTTGCGTTTGGAGCATTTTATCTCCTCTCTGCTGGACCGGTGCCAATTTTTTTCAACTCTGCAGGTGTCATTATTTCTGGTGATCTTTTTGTTCATCTCTGCAAGGATATTACGAATTAGGTGAATACCTTGCCTTTACTTCTCACTATTGTAAACTTCGAGTGGTAACGGTTCGACCTAATAAGTTGACGATGAGCTCTTTTTTTCCGCACCACAGAATCTTTTGAGGAGTAAATGAGTAGCATCTCCCCTGTTTCTTTTGCAGATTAGTATTTCTACACATGATATTTGAGCCTTAATGCATTTGATCCTTCAGTCAGGCTTTAGATTTCCGGCTACTGCTTTGAACTGCTCTAGAACTCCTTTAGAACCGGACATGTCCGGTGCCTTTTACCTCTGAGTCTGTTTCGATAGTTGGTCGGGCTCTCGTCCGCCTTGGAAGGGCAGCGGGGTCACGAGGTTAGTGGGGAGTTCTGGTGCGACTTCGTGCCATCGGTGCGTTGCAAATCAAGACGCTAGAAGTGTGTGGGAACTTACTACGGCCTCGCGTTTGGTAAAGTTCCTAATATTATCTATGTTCGGTCGCAATGTGGCTCGGGGGGGGCACTCTGAGAAGAAGTCATCTAGGACTAAGCCTAAACAGCAGGAACGAACTCCGGAGAATACGAAAACTTCCGTACACCGGAGTTCCTCTTCTCTTCAAAAGCTCAGTCCTAAAACGGAGCGTTTCCGTGATTTTGACGCGATGTTGCGAGGTGCCCCCTCCCCGAGCACATTCCGCCCTAATTTCTAAGGAAGTGTTGTGAATTTACTGATTAGGACTGTCTGGTCCAATTTCTCGTTCTCATCCCTTCTTTTGTCTCCCCTTTTCGAAAACTGAGCGCTTCTCAACTATCATTTGTTTTTCAGAACATGCAGTCTTTGATCTCTTTTTTTTTTTGAAAAGCTAATCGCCCAACTACCACTTGTTTTGTTTTTCAGAACATGCAGTCATTTGATCTCTTTTTTTCAGAATCAGCATCGACTCGGTAACACGAATGAAGGTCGATGAAAAGAACGGTTCTGTGGCTGTAGAACATAGTGGCGATCAAGAGGGTGTTGTGCAGTCTAAAGAAAATGTGGCGCAGAGATGGCTCAGAGCTGCGTCGTTTAAAGAAATTTTGGGATCCGATGCTAGCCATAAGGTAGTCATTCCTAATGCCACTTTTCTGATCTGCTGCTAATGGACCTTCTAACGCTCCATGTTTTTCTATTTGAAAACCATCGTATTTCTTTCAGTCACTTTTCCTACTTGTTGCACATGAAAGTGGCGAACAAGGTGTACTCCTTCTCAACAAGTCACCTTTCTCCGAAAGTACTGAGGACATTGCTGCTATTCTCGAATCGGCTGAGTTGTCTGAGATAATGAAAAATGATATATTTGGAAGCTACGATGTACTTATTCCTTCTAATATGAACGGTATGTTTTCATGGCTAACTCCCCAATTATGCGGGTTGGGGATCAGATTGTGGACTCACGTCTTCCGAGCTATCCTAGACTTCCATCTCTCGGTGGTCGTTTGATTAGTACTAGACTTGCTTGTGGGAGTTACAAAACTGACTTGTATATCGGCTGTTCTCCGCATTTCGTTATGCGGAATACTCGCACTCAGATCCACTACATTTTGAATGGAAGTAGAATGCGTGGCGGGGGAATGGTCGATGCTGATTACTTTGTCCTTTTTTACTCATTTTCTCGAACGTACACAAGGGAAGGAATTACTCGACATCAAAGTCAATGTGATTGTTTCAGTGGTGAAGTCCACTCTAATATATCCTGCTAATGAAAAAGTGATAGCAAAGTATCGTCAAGAAGAAAAGTTCATCATTAACGAAACGGCTGAAGACTATGAAACGATTACCGTTGAGTACATCAAGAAGTATCAAATGGATCTCAAGGTAAGGTTTACGGAATCTATGTCAAGATTTTCTTAGCGATAACTTAAAAGTAGTGGGTACCAAGTAGTGTTAGGGGTGTTATATTACGGCTTTGCTAATAGTTGTTATGTTTTTTCGTGAAATTTAGTGA